TATATATATTTATATATATACAGTCCAGCCTCTCTATAACGACCTTGGATATAACGACATCCTCTGTATAGCTACGTGGTGCCCAGGTCCCCATTTTTTCCTTGTATGTCATAAGTAATTTTTGGTTGCCTTTCTGTAATAAATATTTGTTTCTGTTCCCTACAATGTCATTATAGAGAGGCTGCACTGTAGAATAAGAAAAAATTTCTACATTTCGCCTGTCGCTGTGGCAAGCAGTCCACTTGGGTCTATATTTTGAGATTTTTATATGTGTCACAGAATCAGGCGCTCGTCAATTTTTGAGCATGTGGAGTTATTATTATCTTCTAAAAGCTTATTCATTTGCCTTGTTTTCAATGAAAAAAAATACCCATCTATCTTGGGTTGAGGTTGAGATATTTGCTATGGAAGAAAGTGGGGTCGCCTGGTTTCAGTGGTAAAATTAGTGAGAAAATGGCAGCCAAAGGTTGGTACTCCAATAGATAAAGAATCCTTGAAAACAGAAAAAAATGACACATTTTGTGCCTTTAATCAATGTGTTTCAGTAACATTCCCAGGTAAATGTGTTTTTATATGTACATAAAGAGGTTGAGCCAAAAAATAAAAATTCGATAAAAGTTTCCAAACTGGCAGAAAAATTCCTATTTCTCCGATTTCTGTATTTTGACGAGCGCCTGATTTCACCATGCTGCCTCACATATTTTTACACCCTCTCAAAGCTCTAGATTACACCTTTCAACACCACCAAAATGTAGTTTAATGCTATCGTCAAGACTTACAGTTTTCTTGCTTTTTCTGATTCTCGATAGGAACAACGCAACAAAAACTAGGGATTTTTTTTGTCTCTGTCGTAGAAAGTTCCCGAACTGACCTGAGTGGTTTGCTTGCATCTTTCTTTTCTCACTGTGTCACTGTCTCTCTTTTTCTTTTTCTCTGCCTCTCTCTTTCTCTCTCTCTCACTCTCTCTCTCTCCCTTTTTCTCTCACTTTTTGTCACATTCTCTCTCTTCTTTATCTCTCTCTTCTTTATCTCTCTCTTCTTTATCTCTCTCTTCTTTATCTCTCTCTTCTTTATCTCTCTCTTCTTTATCTCTCTCTCTTTCTCTGTCTCTGTCTCTCTCTGTCTGTCTCTCTTTGTCTCTCTCTCTCTCTCTCCCTCTCTCTCCGTCTGTCTCTCTTTGTTTTTGTCCCTGCTTTTCTCTCTCTCTCTCTCCCTCTCTCTCTCCCTCTCTCTCTCTCCCTCTCTCTCCATCTGTCTCTGTCTTTGTCCCTGCCTTTCTCTTTCTCT